AGGTGTCCATTCTGGTTAGAACATAGAGTACATGAGAGAGCTGTACCTGGAGATAAAGCTGTTGTTACATTGGAACCAGACTGTCCTACCCCTGAAAGCTCTGAGCAGAGGAATGGCTTGATTCTCTGACTGTTAGAAATGTTATTCTGGCGTCAGCATGCAGGAGGAATTGGAAAGTGGACATATTGAAGATAGGAAAACTATTTGGGAAACTATTCAGGTCAATTCTTTGTTACAAGAGAGTGTTCTAATGGGGGAAGGAGAAAAGTCACTGGAAAGTAATAATGATGTTTGAAAAACAAAGCATTAAAACATTTTTAAAAGTAAACAGTTAAGAGGAAATGAGGTCTGTGAAATAAGGTGGGAGTGTAGAAGAGGGATCAGATGCAAGAGGTATTGCATTGATGGGATTAGGATCAATCAATCAACTAGCATTTATTAAGCACTGCCCTAAACATTACAATTATTAAACTATTTTTGAAAAAATTAAATTATTAAAAAATGATTTGTGCCAGGCACCACCCTAAACACTGCAGAAACAAAGAAAGCCAAAAAACAGTTCCTGCTTCCAAAGAGCTTACAGTCTAAGGGGAGAAACAACATGCAAGCAATTATGCATAAACTAGCTACATACAAGATAAATTGGGGATAGTCTCAGAGGTAAGCTACAAAATTAAGGACTTGGAAAATTTCTTGCAGAAGTGGAACCCAGAAAGCAGGAGATGATGAAGGAGTGTTTCAGGAATACGAAACAGACTATGGAAACATGGGAGATTCAGTGTCACTGGATCTCAGAATACACGTAGGAGTAAAGTATAAGAAGACTAGAAAAGTAGGAAGGAGCCAAAAGACTTTAAAAACTCAAAAGAGGATTTTGTATTTTATCTTGGAAGTAATAAGGAGCCATTGGAGTTTACTGAATAGAGGAGTCACATGGTCAGACTTGAGTTTTAGGAAGATCAGTTTGACAGCTGGGTGGAAGATAGATTCAAGTGGGAGAAAGACTTGAGACAAGAGACTAATCAAGAAGCTAATTCAGTAGTCCAGATGTGACACAATGAGAGTCTGCAACCGGGGTGATGGCAGTGCCAGAGGGGAGAAGGGGGCATATATAAGAGATATTATGAAGGTAGAAATGATAGGACATGATTGAATATTAGAGGTGAGAGAGTGAGGAGTCAAAGATGACACCTAGGTTGTGAGCCTGGGTAACTGGAAGGATGGTGACTAGGAAGTTAGGAAGAGTTTAAGGGGGAAAGATAATGTGCTCAGTTTTGGAAATGTTGAATTTAGGATGTCTATGGGACTTCTGGTTTGTGATATCCAGTAAGCAGTTGGAGATGTGAGACTGCAGGCCAGCCAAAAGGTTAGGGCTAGACAAGTAGATCTGAGAGTCATCTACATAGTGAATAAGTGAAACTGGGAACTTATGAGGTTACCAAGTAAAATAGCACGGATGGAGAACAGGGCCCAAGACAGAGCCTTGGGGGGAGCCCATGGTTAGTTGGTGTGATATGGATGAAGATCTAGCAAAAGAGACAAAGGAGTGGTGATACAGGTAGGAGAAGTAGGAAAGGGCAGCTTCACAAAAACCTAAGGAGAAGAGAGTCACCAATAATGCCAAAGGTTGCAGAGAGGTCAAGAACTATGAGGATTGAGAAAAGGTCATTAGATTTGACAAGAGATCATAAATAAATTTGGAGGGAATCATTTTAGTTGAATGATGAGGTTGGAAGCCAGACTTCAAAGCGAAGAAAAGAGTGAGAAGGGGGAAAAATGGAGGTACCCATTGTAGATGGCCTCAAGGAGTTCAGTCACAAAAGGGAGAAGCGATATAGAATAATAGTCAGTGGAGATGGAAGAGTCGAGTGAAAGTTTTTGAAGATAGGAAGACTTGGGCATGTTTGTAGGCAACAGAAAAACAACCAGAAGACAGAGAGATTGAAGATTCGTGAGAGAGAAGGGATGATAGAGGGGGCAATCTGTTGGAGAGTGAGAAGTGAGCAAAATACATGGTTGCTGTTGGGGAGATAGGAGGAGAATCTTGAGAACACAATGTTACTGAAACCAAGGGAATAAAGTTTCCCAAAGGAGGGAGTGGTGTACAATTTTGAGTTCGGTTTTGGAAATTTACAGTGTACAGTATCAAATGGTGCAGAGAAGTCAAAAGGACACTGGACTTGTTGGATTCTCCTCAACTTCTCTGCAGACTTTGATTCTGCTGATCCCTCTCTTCTTGATACTCTCTTCTCTCTAGGCTTTTGAGACACTACTCTCTCCTGGTTCTCCTCCTGTCTATCAGTCCACTCCTCAATCTCCTTGACTGGATCTTCATCCAGGTCAGACTCTTTAACTATAGGTGGAAAGCAATTCAACTCACTCCAAACTACTGCATTCTGTCCTCAGTCCTCTTCTCTTCTCCCTCTATGTTGCTTCACTTGACAATCTCATCAGCTCCCATGGATTTAATTACCATATCTATGATAATGGGGCAGCTAGATGGCACAGTGGATAGAGTACCAAGGAAGACTCATCTTCCCGAGTTCAAATCTGGCCTCAGACACTTACTGTGTGTCCCATGGCAAGTCACTTAACCTTGTTTGCCTCAGTTTCTTCATCTGCAAAATGAGCTGGAGAAGGAAATGGCAAACCACTCCAGTATCTTTGTGAAGAAAACCCGAAATGAAGTGATGAGGAGTTGGACTTGACAAAACAACAATGATGATGGTGATTCACATCCACCTGTCCTGGTCTAACCAATTTGCTGTCCTCCAATCTCGTATTTCCAATTGCCTTTCAGCTATCTGGACCTGGATGTCCAGTAGACATCTCAAATTCAACATGTCCATGCCAAACTCACTCCCAATCTGTTAGGCTTACAACCAATTTTAAGTGTTATCCTCAATGTTAGGTGTCATCCTCAACTCACTATCTCTCATCTGTTATGTCCAATCTTTTGACAAGAGTTATCCATTTTACCTTTGCAACATCTCTAGAATACAACCCCTCCTCTCCTTTGACACTGCCACCATCCTGGTGCATCATCACTTGGAACAGCCTGCTGGTGGGTCTGCCTACCTCAAGTCTCTCTACTACAATCCATTCTCCATTTATTCCCCCAAAGTGATTTTCCTAAAGTGCATGTCCAACCATGTCACCTCCATACTCAATACACTCCAGTGGCTTTGCCTCCAGGATCAAATATAAAACCCTCTGGCATTCAAAGCCCTTCATGACCTGGGCCCTTATACCTTATTCTCTGCCACATACTCTTCAATCCAGAGACACTGGTCTCTTTGCTTTTCCTCAAACAAGGCAGTCCATCTCTCAACTCCAGGCAATTTTTTTTTTTGGCTGTCCTCCTTGCCTGGAATTCGCTCCCTCTCCATCTCTGCCCACGGGCTTCCCTGCCTTCCTTTAGGTCCCAAGTAAAATTCAAACTTCTGTAGGAAGCCTTTCCTAATCCCTCTTAATTCTAGTGCCTTCCCTCTTTTAATAATTTCCTAATTTTTCTTTATGTAGCTTGTTTTTACATATGTGTGTATTGTCTCTCCCGATAGATTGTGAGCTTCTTGAGGGCAGGGACTGACTTCTGCTTCTTTTTGTATCCCCAGAACTTAGCACAGGGCCTAACTATAGTAGGTACTTAATAAGTGTTTATTGATTGACTGCTAGTGACCTTAGAACTATTTTAGTAGGACTGGGAATGGAATTCAGATTACAAGGGATAGAGGAATGAGTTTAAGGAAACGGAATCCATGAGTGCAAATTACTCTCTCAATGATAATTTTCACTGATAACAAGGATACTTTTAAACAGTTGTAAAAAGCAAGCTAACTGGTCTTCATAAATTATAGTTCTATAATATTCCTCCCCTATAAAAATCCTACTCATCCTTTCAAGATCCTATCAAATAATATTTCCTTTATTATTCTCTTTTGTGTTCCTTTCTAATGGCACTTGTCACCTTTTCCCTCCTCTCATCTCTTGAATTGCAAGCTTTTTGAAGGCACCCCTGCCCTTCCCCGAGTATGTAGTACAGTGCCTAGTACAAGAAATCTTAAGTAATTTTCGAATTAGGAATAGTCCCTACAACGGAGGTCAGATGTCACAATCAAGAAAGAAGAATGCAAGTTGGGTGCTTTATGCGGGATTAAGGGTGCGTTTGTTTATACAGCTAATTTCTTGCTCCTTCTGTCCTTTTCCTCCCCTTTCAAGAACATCAGTTCATTTTCAAGCAGGAGTTTTAACGTTTCTACTCCTTGGGTCGAATTCAGCCCTTGAGAGTAACTGGTTCACGGAACCGGGTTTAACCTCAGTTAATGTCAGCCTTACATTAGACCTCGGCGGACCTCCCCTTTTGGGGAGTTAGGGGACTCTGGTTTCTTCTCCTCCTGCAGGAGGTGCAGGTGCTGCAGGAGGGAGGGCGGGGCGCCTCCTTCCTGCTCCCTGGGGTCTGGGGCAGGCACTCCGTCTTGAGAGATGCAGGTGAAGCGGTGTGAAGGGTTGGGCTTTTTTTTTTGTTCCTAAAAATAAAACGAACAAAAAAAAAAGTACAACAATCCAAACCCAACCGTCTCGGAGCCCATCGGTTTGACTGGGAGACTCCTTCTGCTCCTGCTCTTCGAGGGATCTCGGTGCGCCGCCTCTTCATGCCCGATCGAGGCGCTCTGGGATGTCTCCCCCCGCCCTCCCGCCCGGCGCTGCCCCGCCCAGGAGGCCCCAGGTACCTCCCCTCTCCTTGCACTGCACGGAGGCGGGCAGAGCACCCGGGCTGGCCCCGGGACAGAGAAGGGAGGGAAGGAGGGAGGGACCTGGGGAGGCCCGAGAGAGCCACCTCCCCCGCCCCCCACGGCCGTCCCACCCTCGGGACGGGCGAGGGAGGTGGAACAAAGGCGAGCAATTTCTTGCTGCGGCGGAGGTGGCTGCAGTGCCGGAGGGAGGCCGGAGGGCGGGCCGGCCACCAGGGCCAACCTCCGCGCGAGTCCATTTTGTGGCTGAAGCCGCCTCGTGCCTGGGCAGCGCAGCTGCGCCACTCGGGTAGCTCGAGCCCCGGCTGTTGTTGCTTCTGCTGCTGCCCGCACACGCACCCCACGAGCAGCTGCAGGTCGGTCTGGGGAGAAGGGCCGGGTTCGGGCGTGGGCTTGTCCGCGCGCAGCCCCGCGCGCCTCTAGGACTTGGGGAAGGAGGGATGGGGGTGCCTTTGGCGGAGGTAGTGGAGGAGCTATGGACACTGGGGTCTTTGGCCAGGGCCCATGGGGTTAGGGGGTCAGACTACAGAAACGTGTCTTTGTGCCCCAAACCTTGGTGCTTGGCCTGGCTCCCGGCAGTGCCCGGGAGCTAGACCTGCCACATAATCGAACAGGGCCAGGGAGGGCCGAGGCCGGCCAGGGCACGGGGCAGGTCGGTAGGTTACAGAAGGAAGGGTTGGAAAGCCGGTAGAGGTGGGGAAAAAATCAAATGGAGGGAAAGTCCGGCATCTGGTTTTGCCTCTGTCCATGCTCCAACAGGCTGGCTTTCTTTATGGAGTAGACTGAAAAACCACTTGGGACTTAGTGTAAGGGCCTAGGCGTCCCTTCCTCGCAGGAAGCCCCTCGTGTGCATGGCTGGCTGGCTGCCTGGTGAATAAAACCAGGCTGCTCAGAGAGTTTCTGTGCCTGCCTAATAAACCTTTCAGCACAAGGGACTGAAACAAAACTATACTTTCTCCATGGTCAAGGCCCGTCTTTCCTTTCTCCTCTCATCGTCGGCCACATATCCTTTTCAGCCTAGGTTCTTACTGCCGAGTCCTTGTTCAAGGCCTTTTCTGCTTGAATCAGGTCTTTGCCCTTTTCAGGTTTTGTGATTTGAACAGTGGAGTGTTCCTGTTTATTGCATTTTGGAAGCAGAGGGGAGGGCTTTTGGCTTACTGGGATTATAGATTTTAAAGATGAAAGAGAGCTTAGAGGCCATATAATCCAACCCCTTCATTTTACAGATGAGGAAACTGAGGCACAGATAAGCTAATTAACTGCCCAAGATCATATAGAGAGCTGGAATGTGAATCTGGGTCTCTGACTACAAATTCAGTGCTTTTTGAGACCTGTCCTAATAAGATTCTCTTTATAGGTGGTCTGGGCTTCCTTGTCCAGTAGATTTTAAAACACCTACTTTGCTGCATTGTCTGTGGAATAAGATTGGCTTGATGGCTGATTTTTTACTTTCTTCACCTTCCAGGTTTGCCTTTCTTATCTCCTTTTTCCACTGCATCCTAGTTCTGGGTCGATCTGTAGCCATCACAATAATATTAGCTTTTCCTCAACATGGAAAACTTTGTGGGTACAAAACACTTTGCAAGGTTATTGATATACTTAATAATAATGCTAATAATAGCTACATTTTCATAGTAGTTATGGTTAAAAGCATTTTATACATATATTAGTTCATTTGATCCTCATAATAACCTTGTATGGTAGGTTAGACCAGACTTTTGTATGGTGTAGACAAGGCTTTAAGGTTGTGCTCCACCCTCTTTCACATATACTTGGAAATATAATCTCCTGTATTATCATTATTGTTGTTGTTCATCAGAAGACACTTATCATCAATATCCATGTCACTGAGCATAATTTTCAGACCTTAAAAACATGTACATTTGTAAAATAAACAGTAAAACTCATCTTTCCCCATACTCCCCTTTCTCTCTTGCATTTTGGGGGAAGCAGTTAGGTTAGTTAAGTCTTCTGATTCTAGGTCCAGTGCTCTGAGTAGGTAAAGCCATAATTTATTCTTTACCTAGGCACATTTCTCTCTATTTGGACTTGGAGAACTTGTCAGTTAACTGGTTATGTTTCTCTCTCTCTCTTTCTTATTAACTTCCTCATGCTCTCCCCTTAAAAAATGGTTCCTACCAGCTGACTGAATTCATCCTACCTGTCTGCCTGCTCTCATTTCCTGCTGTAACATCACCCACTCTTATGTTTCCCTGTCCCTGGTCCTTCTGTCACAGAATCTTTGTCCAAAATGTCCCATAGTCATTTCTGCCCTCTACCATAGTGCTCATTTTTGTCCCTTCTTTAAATCACAGCTCAAAGGTAAATTTTTCTAGAACTATACCTTAATTAATGCTTCCCATTCTCCAAGTTATCCTAAAGCCACAGATTTTTAAAGCTAGAAGGGGCCTTAGAGATAATCTTTAGAATCCAGTATTCTCATTTTATAGTCATTTGAGTGTCTGGTCCTTTTGTGATATGCCAGTAACAGTGCCGAACTGGTTGGCAAGTTGTAGAACCTGGATTCACAGGATCTCAAAATTGGAAAACTGGAGGGGATCTTAGGAGCAATCCTTACCCAAAGTAGCAAGAATCCTCTCTCCATTAAACTGATAAATGGTCATTCTGTCTTTGAAGACTTTCAGAGAGAGGGAATCCACTAACATGCTGGGGTAGCCCATTGGTTTAGAGTAACTAAAGGATTTTCCTTATATTAAACCTAAATTTGCTTCTTTTCAGATTCTTCTCCTTATTCCTAGTTTTATTCTTTGGGGCCAAGAAAGACTAATCCAATCCCTCTACCAGCAGAGTGTAAGTTCCTTGAAGACAGGGACAATTTTTTTTTTAATTCCCAGGGCCAAGAATGTAGTTGGTGCTTAAATTATTGAATTGAATTAAGTTCTTTGACAGCTCTTCAAAAACACGAAGACAGCTATTTCCTCCATTCCCCTGCCAGGGACTTGCCTTGAAATAGACTAAACCAGAGGTGGGGAACCTGCAGCCTTGAGGCCACAGGTGGCCTTCTAGGTCCTTGGGTGCAGCCTTTTGACTGAGTCCAAGTTTTACAAAACAAATTCTTTTATTAAGGGGTTTTGTTCTGTGAAGTTCGGATTCAAAGGGCCACACTTAAGGACCTAGCAGTTTCCCCACCCCTGGGCTAATATTCTGTTCCTTCAACTAATTCTCATATGGGCACTCTAGCATATCATAGCCTTAGTAAAATGTGGCAGCCAGAACTGACGAGCAGGATGGTCACATCACTAGCCCTGGACATTACACCTCTCAGTGCAGTCCAAGATCACATTAGATTTTTTTTTTTTGGCTGTTGTATCATATATGTAGACAGTAGAGCTTGTGGTCAGATTGGCCAGTACTGTCTGACCTCCTTTCCCTCATTTTATGAAATTGACATTTTTTAAACTCAAGAGTAAGACTTTACATTTATCCCTACTGAATTTCATGTTACTAGGTTTGGCTGAATGCTGTAGAGTGACTGTTAAGATCTTTACAAATTTTGACTTTAGTCCCTTATGTTAATTATGCATAACTCTTAGCTTCTTGTTGTCTTCAAGTTTGATAAATATATCATCTAAGCCTTTATGTAAGACATTGGCAAAAAAGGTTAAATGGCATAGGGTCAAGCATAGCTTTCTAAATCCTACCTTATCTGTAACTAATATATCCTTGGGTGAGTCACTTGACCTATCAAAATATAAAATGAAATTGATTATATCTTTAGAAAAAAATCAGACCTGTGATTTCATTGTTGTTGGGAACTCATGCTGATCACAACTGCTCTGTAGCTTTTAGTCTTAGAAACTTGCTTGGGGGCACTGAGAGGTTAAGGACATGTCACACAAGACTGGAACTTAGGTCTTCCCTCCTCCAAAGCTAGCACTCTGGCCAATACACCAGGATTCATAAATTACCTTTTTTAACTTATATTTGATCAAAGGATCATAGATGTGGGTCTAGAGAGAGACTGAGTTGTTTAGTTCAGCTCCCTCATTTTATAGATGAGAAAACTGAGGTGCAGAGAGAATTACCTGAGGTCTCCTAAGTGCCTGAGCTGAGGTTTGGATTCAGTTGTTCGAACTCCAAATCTTGTGCTCACTGTAGCTGTACCACACCTACTGCCTCACTCTGTTACCACTGGATCTGCGAGAATATCAAATTTTCTGATTTTAGAAAGATTTGATAGAGTTTTTGTCATATTATCTTAGATCCTCACATCTAAAAGATGTGAAATAAGGACTCAGATCTTGTGTACAGCCTTGCACTTTTTCCAATATTTAACCAATGATAGATATCCCTTGTCTGCAGAATAGTTGCATTAGCAGAGTGCCTGGCACATGATAGATGTTTAATTAAAATTGATTGATTAAAGTCAGTCATAAAGCCATTCTCTGTAATGTGAATCTTCTTTTTCCACTGACTTCAATTACACTATTAGATATATTTCTAGGGAGAAACTGAGTTGGAAATTTTGGGTGAGGACAGTTTAACAGAGCACAGTAAAGCCTGCAGATTAGTGAACCACTTCTTGTATTTTGCAGCACTTTCCCAATACTGGCTTTTCTCTCTCTTTCTCTTTCTCTTTCTCTTTCCCTTTCTCTCTCTCTCACCCTCATTGCTTATGCATCACACTCTATCTTTGTGTGTGTATACACATATGTGTAAATATACACATATCCATATATTTATATATCTTTGTATACGCATACATTTAGAAATGCTTTAGAATTTATAAAGTGCTTTCCTCACAGCTATGAGGCATTACTTTTGGAAGATGATTTAATTGAGGCTACAGAAGGTTAAGTCACTTCCAATGTCATCTGGCAATAGAGTTGAGACATAAACAGGTCTGCTCATGTTAACTCCAGTGTGATCTTGCCACTGCACTACACTACACTGCTGTCCTGATACACTGACTAGTATTTTACAAAGGGCTTATACACATTTGACTGCCATGCCAAAGTCATCTCAAATGTTAGATATAATTTTGGTGGTTAATACTTCTTTCTATCATAAAATGTCTATTAAGCATTTATTTACAGTAAGGACCAAGAAGGTAACAAAGTACTGTAATATACTACTGTATACTAAGTACTGTACCAAAGTACTGTAATATACTACTGTAATATAACTGTTATAAGTATTTTTGAAAACTATCTTATCTGCCCCACATCTGAGTTTATAGTGCTTAACTATCTTATCTGCTTATTATAATTTATTTGCATTTTATTTATCTGTGTTAATGTCTTATCTCTTACCAAACTGTAAACTCATTGCAAGGGACTGTTTCTTATTTGTCTTTGTATCTTTCCTGGCTTCTGTCACTCTCTGTTACATATAG